GTTTCAGTTTCACTTAGTATCTTGCTCCTGAACCAAGGAATCGGAAGTTCGGATAATGGTGTTTAGTTTAATCACAAATGAGTCGAGAATGGGATCACTTTTTGTATAAAAAGATTTACTGTTTCCAGAGATAAGATAGGTAGAAGAGTAAATATAATACAAGTTAACCAGTTGGTTCCCTTTAAAAGACGATTACTAAATCTAATATTTCTCTTATCATTTATGATGATAGAGGTCATTTTTGAGTGAAAGGAAGAAACCCAAGATAGGGTTAAAATACCAAAAGCAAAGATCGACACACAAACAAAGCAGAAGTGAGGTGAATATTGAGATAAAATCCAGAATGTTAAACTTAAAATGATCGTGTGACACACCAACGGTTTCTTGTTAGGTTGCTTATAAATTCAAAATGTTCAACAATTAACGGCTCAAGCAATTCGGTTTTAACATATTGCTTCAAAGTCTTTTTTTATCTGATAATCTGTGCAGCAAAACTCGTACAAAATACAGAATAGAAGAGAAGTAGACAGTGAAATAGACTGAAGTTAGTTTCTTAAAATTGATTAAATAAAGCAACACAAATGTTAAGCAAATGAAATCGACGATCGAAGTAACAGTTTTATTTGAAAAAATCAGATGGCGTTGTACCAGGTATTGTACAATTTAATGAAATATTTTTCTCATAAGTTTTTACAGTTAATATCTTTTAATAGTTAATATTTATTATAAATTTATTTTATTATTATCATTTGTGAATATTTTACTTATTTGAAAAGTTCAATCGTTTAGTTGATTTACAGTAATCAACAATTGAAACAGTAAACATGTGACGAGAATCTAATTCGATAATAAACAAGGAGTATAAACAAGTGAACAAAATGTAACTTCTGTCTGGTTCTCAACTTTTTATTGATCAATTGTTTCAATTTTTCCTGTCTTGGATTGAATTAATTAACCTGACGATTAGATGTGGTATATTACATGGAACAAGAATCGATCACAAGGAATCAGTAGACTTGGTTAACTCCTACGATGTGAAAGTCCGCCTCATGCTTTTCTTTCTGGTGCTTTCCTCAGCTCTAAGCCATTAAAAAGGGAAATATAAACTAATACTTTAAGATTAGATTAACGGCAATTAATAAAGTAAGATAGAATGAAGAAAGTGAGAGAGAGAAGGGGAGTGAATGTTGAAGAGTAAGGTGAGAGAAATGAAGAAAAGATGGTGGTAAATTAGAGAGAAAAGAAGAGTAAAAAACTGATACAAACATGAGATTCTTGAAATGAACGTTAAGAGTTCAAAGCAAATGATCTCAAAGTGAAATACATTTAGATGTTCACTTGTTTATCAGTTTGGTCTGTTTGCTTTTTCCCATTATATTTTTTTTTCTAGACATTTTGTTTTTTCTCGCTTAGCTCAATGTTAACTCATTTTTCCCTCTTTTTTACTTAGACTTAATGTCTATTGTTAATTTTTGTGTGACTCAAGAGGGCAAACAAAAGAAAGAGCAACTTTTCTTCAAAATCAAAGTCTCACCAAAATGCCTTCTAATCTGGATAAAATGTCGCCTGGATTAATCCACCTGACTAGGATACATTCTGTTCGTTCAAGTGATTCTTCTGGTCATGGTTTTGATTCGCTTGATTCTTCCTTTACAGATGATCACATTGATGATCGTTCCTGGTCTTGGATTTATCTTAAATCAGAGTTTACGGGTAAAGATTCTGAAAAGCTATTCCACAAGTATCAAGCCCGTCTTCAGCACAATTTTTTCATGGTTTTACTTTTACTCAACATCTCTTTTAATCTGATTGCAATTGCTATTTACCTCTGGGATAAGGTGAGTGTAATTATGATAATTTAATCTATTTTATAAATCAAAATATAACAATATGACTTGATCGACCTTTATTTTTCTCGTTTTAAATGAAATTCATTTTACCAATCACTTAGTAAATTGACAAATTCACCTTTTGCTTGTACGACAATCTATTTACCAGGAAAGCTCCGATTAATCCATCCAATTTTGATTTCTCAAAATGATTTATTTTGGGCTCAACTTGATTAGTTTTTATTTTACTCTCGCATATGATTAATACCCAAGTCTATTTACTTAATTACTAGAAATAGACCTCCTCAAAGAAGTAGCTACCAAGTTAGACACTGTCAACCTAGTTTACCTAAACCCGATTAAATAACAATATCAAATTATTAAATATCATTATTTCAGATTTGTATACTTATACTGATCAATCAAATGGTGGTTAACAATCAAGACAGTGATAACATTGAGATTAATTCTAGGAATTCACCACTTGTTTGTTGTGATTGAAAATCATGTATCAAAATCAGTATCTTTCCAATATTCTTCATGAGTTTTAAGCTGCATGACTGAGAATTGTATTTAGTTGGATATTCAGTCAGTTTTTGATTGATTTCAACGTTAGCTACTTGCTAATTTACATCGACTTCAGTTCACTTTGCTCTTGATTAACTGACAATCTGTTCAAATGAACTGTTACGGCAAATCATTGCTGATCAAAAATCTTAATCACCAACAGCAGCCTCTTCACCATTAGATTACTCTTACAAGTTATTTGCTAATAATCTCAGTTAATCAATACAAGTTGCTTCTATTAATAATAGCGATTTTATTCCTCAATTGCTAATGAAAGTTTTATCAGAAAAAAAATAAACCAGAAAATATCTTAATTTTATTTCAATAACTACATTAAAATTTCAAATTAACCATAACTTGAATGCAGCTTCTGATTTGAATATATTATACATCCAGTAAATTTTTTCCGATGTTAATAAATTCAAAGTGAATTGTGATCGAAGAATTGATTATTTTAAATCTTTTAGCAAAAAAATCCAACAATTTATTTCCATCATTTATTGCAGCTATAAATAGCATCAATGATAAGGTCCATAAGTGAGAAATCAATATAAAAAACAATAAATACTGTCGATGCTAATTAAATAATAGCAAAAAAATGTATTTGTTAAGCATTTCCTTGAAATCAATTAATTTAGTTTCAATAGCTTTTTAAACGGTACCTTAAACTATTGATTGATAATGAATAAAATGAATTTACATTACACAATTTTGATTCTAATTAGATTGTATTTTGTCTTCTCCTTAGCAAGTGAATACTTTTCCTGGTGAAGCTTTAATGCGAGGATCGGCATTAATTGTATAC